GGATTTAAGAAGATTTAGCCTTTTGTCTCCATTTATTTCATAATTATAATAGTCAAATCTTACTCCTTCCACAATGATCCCCATAAACCTTGGGCCTTAATCCCAAACTAGTTTAGGAAAATAACTCATAAATATCTCTAGTATGCTTTAGGCGCACAGTAATAAATTAATTATCGTGATTATGTATACATTCACGTAACATAATTATGATTTTCAAAGTTAAAGGCAAGGTATGCGTTCACGCAACTTTAACAGAACAATTTTAATAATAATAAAAGTGTTATCAATTGTGTACACACATGCGTGGCATGATTTTTAATGCGCAAAATAAAACGGGTACATGTACGCGTGACTCGTTTCAAGATAATTCCTTAATTACGAATAATCAAGCAACAAAAAGCGGATAAAGAAAAATATGGAAACCAATAAATCACAGTTTGTCCAAAATTAATTCAAGCTAAGTTGTAGTCAATAAAGCGACCGTGCTAGAACCACAGGATTCGGGGAATGCCTTACACCTTCTCCCCGGTCAATAGAATTTCTTATCCGGACTTTGTTTTCGCAGATCAATAATATTAGAGTCAAACCTTCCTTTGACTAGGGATTCAAATAAAAGGTGACTTGAAACACCCAAAACTCAATTCCAAGAGGCGACTCTGTAAATAAAATAATCCCTATTCAAGTTTGTCACTTTATTTGGAAAAACTCTTTAATCCACCATCCATAACACACATTATCGTTTTTGGGGCATAAAAGGGGTGTGACAGTCATATTTACCTTTTTGGTCCACTAGTATTTTGATAATTTTTTCAACCTGGATCTCACATCATATGCTTTCTCTCATTTTAACAATTAATCCAATTTTTTTCCTTCTAATTGGCTTTTAGCCCAATAGTATAATCATTATTGGGCAATATTTTTTCTGCAATTCATGACTCATGAGCGAGAAATTAGGAATATATCGTTGGGATTAGGAGAAGTGTGATTATCAAGTAATGGGGTATTTATTTTTGATGGGTTTTTGCTCTAAAATGTAAAATTTGGATAAAAATTCGTGGTAATCTTTAAAATTTTATGAAATTAGGAATACATAGTTGAGATTAGGAGAAGTGTGATTCTCGGATAAGGAGTGATTCATTTTGGATGTGTTTTTGCTATAAAACATATATATTTTGTGTTCACTAGCTGCTATTTCAATAGTTTGGATAAAAATCCGTAGTAATCTTTAAAACTTTATAAAAAATTTCCTTGTAAATTTGGGACAATATACATATGATTGGGCTAAAAGCTACATTTTAACGAAATAGAGCCCTTCCTTTTATGAAAAGTATTTCTTAGATTAAAGGTTTTGATCATATGAAGTGTATTGTTTATAAAAAAAAGTCTCTATAATTTTATTGATTACTTTGTTCTTTTAGAATATGAAATTATTTATAGAGATTTTTACCTGATATAGTATGTACTATATCAGAAACTTATTTACTCTCACTGTTTAGGTTTTAACTTAATTACAAGTTGATATATAATTTATAAATTATATACAAAATAGTATTAATAAGTATCCCTTTATATTAAGAATTGAATATAGTATTACAGTTATTCCTTTGAAAAATAGAGCAACTTTTCAGGAGAATAAACTAATACTGGAGTTATTTTCTTATTTGTCCTCTTTGAAATCTGGAGTTTGTGACTTGAAAAGTGCCTACTTCTAAGCTTAATACTTATAGTATAAGCTAAAATTCATCATAGATTATTATTAAATTATAGATATGTATCAACCCGCCTTGGAAGTTTTCAATCTCTCAGTCCTCACAGAACTTTTCAACTATTAGTATTAAGGAAACATCCTTTTTTTTTATTTTTTTTTTTAATTTTTTTTTTTTTAAAGTTTCAAAATAGATGAAGAAGCATTCAGATTGGTAGTAAAGTACTAAAAGTAAATTTCAAGTTGACAGGCATTAAAAAGGTTCAAAGCTTTGAATTGGAATTTAGATTTATAAAAATTATTATTTTTTGGATGGGATATTGTTGTAAATGATTGAGAATATTCCTTGGAGTTTATATCTCAATTTTGAGGGTGCTTGGTGAAGATTAGAGTTGATTTTTGCTGGATTTCAGATTGAAACTCGAAAAAGAAAAATAACGCATGACATACAATAGACATACAAAATTGTATTAATGTTGTATTCTGTTGTGGTAGTATTTTTTTATTTATTTGAATGATAAATGAAAGTTGAAAAATAGTTGTATAATGTATGAATCGTGAATGAAATTTGTATTTAAGTCATAAATACTATCTTTTGATATAAAATTATTGATATGTATCAAAATTGTATTAAGAGAGGAAATTTTGATTGGAATTTCAGAGCGTAAAAATAATACACCACATACAAAATATATACAAATCATATACAAAATATATACTAAAGACATATAGTATAAAATTTATATGATGTTGTAGTTGTATTTAACTAGGTAAAAATAATGTATGAAAATCGTAGATAATTCAATTCCAAGTATTATACAATAAATGAAACACCTGCGATAAGGATATCATTTTAGTTATGCAACAATCGAAAAACTTTAAAATACAACCAATTCTTATTTCAAATGAAACATCACTTAAAAGTGTCCTCTATGGGTTTTCAAGCAAATATGACGTGCTTTTATATTTCTTTAACGTTGTTTCGGATTGATACATGTGAGATACTTGTATCTATCTTAAAAAAAGGAATATGGAGATAAAAAAAGGTGTAGAGAGGCGGCATATTAAGATACATTCCATATTAAATTAAAAGTCTTAAAAAACACTTTTGATTCTTGTATCTTAGAGGAACCCACATATTTTGGCACTCAATTAATGGAGTTTTGGATGGAGAGAGGCGACATAGAATAGAGAAATATGAGATGCGAGAAAAAAGGAAAAATGTATAACTAAATCTCATAATTAAAGTAATAATAATGAATTGTATATAAATTGTAAGGAAACTCTCGACTCCTTGAGTTTTTAAAAAATTGTTTAGAACATGTAATATATAAGATTAGGACAATTTTGATAAATAAGTTTAAATATTCCTTTATTGTTGATTATTAGAGTACGTATATTAAAGTGCCAGGGGATCTCAATAATAACGTCTCGTTAAAGAACTATTTTATCAAGTATAGAAGATAGCAGGAAAGTTTAATATTATATGGAAATTTTATAGCAAAGAAATTAAAACGCATCAAGACGAGATAAATTATTTGTTTATACTTAATATGATAAAAATAATTTTCTTGATAGTGAGCGGGAGACTTTTATATGGAGGTTATTAGATACTTCCTTTATCTCAATTTATGTGACACTAATCTGGTTGGAGACTTTTAATCAAGCCAAAAAAAAATGATAATTTTTCATATTTGAAAACAATTTAACTTTAAATTTCTCACTTTACTTTTAATGAGATGAGTTTTAAGTTTTAACCACACAAATATTTATGACTTGTTTTAGACAACAAATTTCAATTTTTTCTTTTTTTATTAAATTTTGTGTCTAGTCAAAGTGTATCATATAAAATGGCACGGAGGGAGTAGTAATATTTTCATCCACTAGCGAGGAATATTTGCAATCCTTTCAAAATGAATTAACTAAATCCAGTCTATATCTCGAATTAAATAAATGTCCATGAATATAAGCAACATATAACAACCTGTGAACCAGACAAGTAAAGGGACAATTTTAGACAATTTCGCAATTGCAACGGCAATTTTGGACCTTTTCATTTTTTTTTATATTTTATAATAAGTCCGTTAGCTGAAAATAGCACCATAACACTAAGTTAATCTAGACAACCAACGACAATCTTAATCAATAATGCCATCAAGCACTTAGAGTTATATTTCTACCACTTATTTCTTTCGCTTCAGTTATCTTATTATATCGTTGTTGTTACTGCTTGTTGCTATTGCTTTTTTTCATCTGTCCCTGAGCCGGGGGTCTTCAGAAACGACATCTCTACCTCCACTAAATAGGGGTAAGGTCTGCGTCCATACTACTCTCTCTAAACCCCACTTATGGGATTATAATGGGTATGTCTAATATGTTGTTACAAAACTGAGAAATTATACTTGTTTTGCTAAGTAGTACAGAAAGTTCTTCTCATGATATTATGAGACACTTGTCTATGATTGTTTGTTAGCCTTAAAATTCTTGCCAATTTTCCAATGGACTATCAAAAATGTTTCCAAAAGACCCAAAACTTAGAACTTATGCTAGTAATACTAGTAGAATAAAACAAATGCATACTTGACGAATACATCTATTGTTAGATTCCCAGTTATCTTAACTGTTAGATCCACTGCTGCTACGCTGAAGTCCCAGGTACATCATCAATAGTGTGGCTGGATTCAAGGGATGGTATTCTTTTAACAGCAGGCATGGCCGGCTTCTCTTTGAGAGGAGGCTTGAGAGGCTTGCTCGGATGGATTTGATCGACTTTTTGCGAAGGGACATCAAACTGCACAACCAACAACAAAGCCATTGAATAAGAAACAAGAAATGCACATGACAAGCATAGCATGTAGAGGAGCACAATAACATCAAATGCAACACAAAATGCTAGCGCGGTTGCAGACTAAATGAGCAAGCACTCGATCAAAATAATTGGATCAAATCGCAGGTTAATTAGTTTACATGGATTCTTCATTCACCTAGATGTGCCCATAACATCGGTATGGATATTTGATATGCATTCTTCAAATGCTAACATAGAAATTACCCATGTTAAATCTTATCTACCCGACCCTCGTACTTATGTCCACATAAACAACAACAACAACAACCCAGTATAATCTCACTAGTGGGGTCTGGGGAGGGCAGTGTGTACGCAGACCTTACCCCTACCCTGGGGTAGACAGGCTGTTTCCGATAGACCCTTGGCTTTCTCCCTCCAAGACCTTACCCCTACCTTGCTCTTATGTCCACATAAAGTTACTTCTAAATTTTTTATCTTTTTTTTCTTCTTGCACTTGTTTCTTCCTAGCCCTGACAGAGGGTAAAACATAGAGTAAGTTTGAGGTGCTACTTTCACTTGGATCCTCTTTTGATAACCACACTTACTTATATCCATGCTTCTAAATATCTTGAACTTCACTCATTATCTGCACGCATACTTTTGAGAAGAAAAGAAGGATCAGCACTCAATAACTTTTCAAGCAGCAAGCTTCCGAAAACATGTCCAACAAATTTTATGACAGGGAAAAAGAGCAGCAATTTCCAAGCTTTTCAGTATCTTGATTTGAGAAATTACAGCTATTTTCTCGACTGACATTAGGGTCTCATGATCACTGGTCACGAAACAAGTTACAAGAAGGTATTGTATCAATGCATATTATCTCGACCCAGTTTAATTTATTTTACAATTACTTAGACAGTTCAGTTAGTGCAACTACTTGGGAAATAAACTCCCAAAGCTTATGCCCATAACACAAACTGACCTTGTATCCGCAGCCAGCTACACAAGCATGAAAGCATTCCTGCGTGCAATAAAGAAGATTAAATGTCACTTATGTGCCAAAAAAGACGTTTATGCAGTTCACGTTTTTTATTTGAAGATTATACTCCAGAAACAAACAGATAATACGATATTCAATAATACAACAACAACAACAACAACTACTACTACTACGCCTCCGTCCCAAACGGTGTTCTAATTATGATGGAACAATATCTTTCCTCTTTGGATAGGAATTCAGTCATTTTCTCCAGAGACCTCTTTGTGCACATTCCAAAACTGTTAGCAATCATTCTCTACAACTCATCACTTATATTTTGTCTGCACAAAGTGAGCTTAAGAGGCTAACTCAATAGATGATAATGTAAACTAAAGAGTAGAACTCAACCCCTTAGCCTTTTTTTCCCTTCTTTTTCTCTCAATATGTTCCTGTTTATGAGTCTAAACAATAAGCGCAACATATTTTGTTGGCGCGCCACTCACGCTTTCCTATGATGCAGATTCAGAAGCTAAAAGACAAAAAGAGGAGAAACCAAAGAAGAACCAACTGCAATGCAGAAATGCTAAAAGAGTATTGAAATTCTAACTACTATAATACCTAAAGAAATCAAATTAACAAACTAAATAAGAAGAGGTATTAAATCATCAATTGCTTAGCAAGTCCCTCCTCAAAATCAATTTAGCCGATAAAACCTATGTTGCTCGGATTCTCCGAAAATGTTGTTGGGTGCGTGTCGGATCCTCCAAAAATAGGAAACGGGTGTGGCAGCATTTTGGAGAGTCCGCGCAACAAAGGATAAAACTGATGACTGATCATACTAGATATAGGTAATTAACTTTCATGACATGAAAAAGTAACTTTTAAGTTGGCTTAAGAAATAGTACTTGCGGCCAAATTAAGAGGGATCTCTAAGCCTTCCATTTTTAACCTCAAAAACCAGATAGTCAAGATACTGATCCAGGGATCGATGAACGCTATATTATTTTGATGAAGTTATGAATGCTTATATTAACATATGAAGTAAAGGCTTGCACAACTGCTCTAGAAGCTCCCTTGATATTTTAGAAGCTCAAAATATACAACCTTGTTTTGTCAGTCTTTTGCTACATACAATTTGGCAATTTGGTAAGATTATGAAGAATACTATTGAGAGTGTTGACGTTCAATCCAGGCCTTGTACAGATTGAAAATTGAATTTGAACTACGATCGATAAAATTCTTCGTGATACAAATGACATTGTTAGAAACATCACATTTTGAGAACTGTGAAAGAACAACCAATGAATGAAGATAATAAGAAGGGTGGGGAGACCTCAGAGCAGCTGGCAGCACCAGGGGATCGATCAATGTAAGCACTCCACTGTTGATCCTTCAGAACTGGATTTTTATAGCATATTTCCTCACATTCTGACAAACCTGCATATAGCTATTCATTCTTCTAGTGTAGCTTGGACCAATAGTTAAGCCTCATTGAGGTCTCAGGTTTAAGACATTTCCTGAGCATTAGTGATAGATACATGCAACATCTCGAGATTAAATAATTTAATTTGAACTCCAAAGGGGAGCCACATTATGGCCATTCCCCGAACTTGAGGAACCATGAATATCAACTTACGATGTTTGTCTCGACTCTCGAGGTTAAATAACTTAAGCTATCCATATAAGAGAACAACTACATGGGCATTCTACAAAGTTGAGGCATGGTTTTCCACGTTCATAAACTAGATAGTACTGGGCTGCAGTGGCGTATGCAGAATTTTCCAAAGCATTGTCGACATTCAAAGAAGTGAACAAATGAACAAATTACTCTAACGATATCATATATCAAAAAAGAACACAATTCGAATCATATTAATAAAACAGAATTCAAGTACATTGCTACAACTCTCCTCGGCGAGTTTTTGTTTTTTGAAATGTATCTATAATAGTCTCATTAGAAATAATATTAAATTCTTCATTTTCTATATAAGACACCAAACAATCACTCAAAAACTCATCATTCATTTGATTCCTCAAATCGGTCTTAATCTACTTCATCACCGAGAAATAAGATGAAAGAAAAAAGAAATAGTAAAACAACTTACAATGAAAACAATAGCACCTTAGAAGGGAATTTATTTTTCTTTGGAATGTGTGATATTGACCCTCGACCTACTGTTTTAGTATGAACTTACCATCTAAGAGGTCAATAGTTCAAGCCCCACTTATATGCACAGAAATTTTAAAACACCGATGCATCTGACGATGTTCGAACCCGTGGCCTCCAATTAAACTAAGGCACTTGACCAGTAGAGCCAAGGAGCTCTAACTAGTGGTGTCATTTTATCTTATTTAACCTATGTTTTTATATATATATATATATATATATAGTGAAAATTTCCGACAAAGTGGTGTCGGATAACACCACGTAAGCGAAGGTGCATCTGCCCTGCTGGGATGCAACCCATATTTACATATTATCTTGCGCAACATAACAAAATTGCTATTCACCAGAGATCTTTACAGGCAACATAGTTCCTCATCACAATGGTCAGACAACAAGATAAAGAGAGCAAGCAACTTAACTATTCACCAGGGTTATTCAGAAACCAACAATATCCATAGCATGGACGCTTGGAACTTACATTCATCCCATGTCTCGCCATCAGCATCACATCCTTTTTTGCAGAAGACTCTCCCTTCAAAAATTCAGACATAGCAAAATTGTGATATATCCGAGCTTATTCATGCCAAGAAACAAATTACTACAAGAATAAGTCAATACTAAAACATTTGAAATAAACTTAAAGTGGTATTATATTTTGTCAAAGAAAATATATCTTAGAGAATTGTTTCGTAACGAAATAACAAATAGATAAAGATCGCAAGCTAAAAAAGGCCGGAGTGATTGTTGTTAAAGTATTGGGTTTTTACTAGCTACCCTCCTTTTCCATCTACTCCATAAACAACACACTTATTATTCAGTAGAATTACCATGCAATACTTGATGTTTATGACATGCAATACTTTGAAAGAAGAGCAAATTCCAAGTAAGTTTATATTTGTCCAACCAGCATTGATTTTATTAGGATACAAAATCTGAGAGACTCCACTCAAGGTAATAAAAAAAGATAGAATTTAGATACTTGAATATGAACCTGCTAATGCATCTTATCCATTCACAACTAGATATTCTTAAGCTACCCAAGGTGACCTTTAATTGCAATGACAACTTAAACAAAGAGAACAGACCAATCACAAATAGATGATCGTTAGGAAAATAAAAAGACCTTCAAATTTTCCATAGTTAAAGGAACTTGACATTTTTTAAGACCTTATTGACCGTTCCTGTTGGCAGTTATCTTAAAATTCTTTAAAGAGTTGTTACTTTACCAACTTATCCTTCTCAAGAGAAGAGAGGTAGCTGATTAAAAATCTCAATGTCTAGGATTTACTTTCCCTTTTCTGCTTAAGTAACACATTTTTGAATGCTTAACCAACACACTCTTTCTATTATTTTAGTCCATGAATTGTTGCTGATTATTCAGAGTAGCTAGATTGGCTCAAAATCTTATCATTTGAAAATTCAGTAAGCTAACCATAAATTGCACAAAAGGGAATGTGTGCAATTCACTTCATTGTAAGTAATGAGTTACACCAAACATGCTTATGATGGCAAACGCAGCCCAGTCAGCAGTAGTCTGAGTTTCCCGGACTATGAAGGTAGAATAGGCTTGCTAAGAGTTGGGAGGATTCAAATTAAACAGCATGCCTTAGAAATCCAACCAAATGCACAGGCCTAGAGGAATGCTTAGAATTTACTTCATTGTAAGTAATGAGTTACGCCAAACAAGCCAACGGATTATGATGGTAAACCGGTCCCGGTCAGCAGTAGTCTGAGTTTCCCGGTCTATAAGGTAGAATGGGTTTGGTAAGAGCCGAAAGGAATATAAATGAGAAAGAAACGGCACGCCACAGAAATCCAACCAAACACATAGTCCAACCAAAACCTGTTTGCAAGGTATAATTAGGATAGAAGAGAAATAACACCCTAATGACGGCAAGTTGAAAATTTTCCTCCAGGCACTAATACTTTCTTCCTCTTCCTTCAATAGCCAGACACAGTTGAAAACAGCCTAACGCAATGTGCTAAGCTATAATGCTATATCATGCATAAAATGTCGGATGGATGCATATATTCAACAATCACTCAAATTCATACTAACCAGAAAAGCAATTCATCGCAGTCTATAGGGCTTAGATGCATTTTGATTAAAGAAAACCTCTTAATTTGGTACCAGCCGCTAATAAACAATGTAATCAATTTGAAAGACCACCATAAGCTCTAAAGATACCGTCTTTGTCTGTTGTTGTTGCAATGAAAGCTTTTACACCATCATTGCATTTTAATATATTATAGCAAGTTACATATCAATCAATACTCATTAAAGAGAGTGACCTACATATAGCTTTTAAGTGACCGCCAGCGCATAAAACTTAACTCTTTTTAATTATTTCTTGAACAATTAGTCACACCCACTTGGAAAATTAACATAAAATTTCTGCTTTTGCATAAAATTCCCAAAATCCTATAGCAAATGGCAACTACTTTCCTCCCATCAAACAAAAATAAAATGGAGATTATTCTTGTTTTGATAGCACACATTAACATAGTATAAAATTCAGACATAGAGCAAATGCATTTAGAATTTAAAGAAAAATATCTACAAGAGTGAGAAGAGAGTAATTACAAGGGATTTGCATGAGAGCAGCGTATTTATGGGTGCACTGATTGTTACAAGGCGGTGCCCATTGCTGCGGAATCATCTCTTTTCACAGCTAAAAATTATAACCCTCGCCTTTCCTGTTCTTCTTTTTTTTTTTTTTTTTTTTTTTTNNNNGGATTGTATTTTTTTTTTTTTTTTTTTTTTTTTTTTTTTTTTTTTTTTTTTTTTTTGTTGTTGTTGTTGCCTTATTGGGTCAAGAAGGAGATGGAGTTATGGAAAAAACTAGGAGAGGAAAAGGAAGGAAGAGATGGTCGAAAATAGAATTGGGGGCACAAGTCACAAACAACGGTTACTTCGAAAAATATGCTGTCTTTACTCTTTTGTATCGCTGCTTGTCCCTCGGGTTTTGTTTTCTCTTCTATCCCATGTAATCATTTAATCTGGATTCACATCCAATTTTATATTTTCAAGTATTTTTATAACAACATTATTTGTTTTAATATTTTTTTTGCTTTTATAGTAAATAATTGCTATACACCTATAACAACACTAAAAGTTTAAATAATTTTGACTATTATAGACAAAAATTATCTAAAAATCAAAAACCAATTCTTCTTTCTAATATTACATATAAAAGATCAAAAAACTATTCAAATTTAAAATCTCAAAAGATATGTATATTTCACTAATTAAATATTAAATAAAGCGAATACATTTTAAAGCTATTAGAAAAATAAATTCTTTCAAGATTGAGGGAAGAACTTTATAATTGTACCTTGTTTCGTAGATTTCATTCTCTTACTAGCGACATAACGCTTGAATTGACGAAAATTTTTGTCCAAACTTTCAGCAAAAGGGTATCCGATAGCTTTTCCTTGAAGCCAACCTAAGAATTTAATAGTTAAATCTTCTATCTAAATATTTTTTGCATTTGTCTAATGAAAAAGATATCATGTGCAAATCTTCTGTATTATACAAGATGAAAACTTGTTCAATGGAAAAGATTGTGTGCAGATTTCTAGAAATATTATAGTAATCTTAGAGAATTTATCTGGCTGTTATAGAGGGGTAATTTTACAAAGAGAGCTCTGCTATAACTATGATTGTTGCTGTTTTATAGGTAAAGTGTTGTTATAAAAAGGTAAAATATAACTTAAAAATTCGGTTTTGAGGAAAACTTGGTTTTTATAATAAATGGTTGTTATATAAGGATACTGTTATAAAGAGGTCTGACAGTAATAGGATTTTGTATAGGCAAGATTCGAATTTGAAAATATCTAACTAAAGGGAAAAGATAATTACAAAAAATCAAATTATATGACTAATATGAAATAAAATTCTTAAAAATTATCTAAAATTTGATATTTTATAACGAATTACTTATCATTTAATGAAATTATCAATCAAAATTACTAAATAAAGTTGCTTTAATTACCTTTTGGGTAATCTGACCGTGTAAACAAATTTATGATATCAATGCTAATAACTTATATTCGAAGTCAAAGAAATAAAATTGTGGAAGAAAAGGTATTTGAACATAAATTGTAGTTGAGAATATGAGACTTGAAATATACCTATAAATTATCGTGCGACGAAGCATTTCGCAAACTTGAATACCTATAAAAAGTCCATCCTAATATATTACATATATGAGTGTTTGACATAAAAATTTTATTTATTGAACTTTTTGGAGTCTAACTTCCGCCAAAGATTAAGTTTAAAATATCATTAAAAGTTTTAATGCTTTTTCGGCGATTCATAACTTCAAACCTTGAATTCAAATCTAAAAATTGATTTCGAGATAACTAAATTTTAAATACTTTTAGCCTATTTGACAATTTTTTGTGAAGCCAAAAGTGCTTGTTTTCTTTAAAAATAACTTATTTTAACTTTTTCTAAAAGCACTTTTGAAATCTTAATCAAGTACAAATTACAAAAATACTTTTTAAATTAATTAATTAAATATAAATTATTTTTTAAATTGTTTTACTCAAAAATACTTTTTCGAAAAGTTCTCGAACAAAATTGCACATTTTAAAATTTTTGGAAGCTATGCTTTTAATACGGTTCTAAAGCGGCTATTTGTGCACTTCATCATTTTCAGCCCCCCGCCAAACCCTTAAACCCCAACGCCATTTCTTCTTCACTTCCCCAAATTCACCATAAACCCTAAATGAAGCTTTTAATCCCTATCTTAAGAAATTCTTCAAATTCAATATCTGCTAACAGAAATGTGTTAAACCGTTTCTATGTTTCAATGTCAAGTAAACATCTGTATAGATCACCCAATGGAGACTCACTGTACAGAAGAATTTCACCTTTAGGGGACCCAAATGAGTCGATAGTACCCGTTCTTGATCAATGGATCAAAGAAGGGAAATTTGTGGTTAAAGAAGACCTTCAGAATATGATTAAAGAATTAAGAGGCTACAGAAGATACAAACATGCCCTTGAGGTAACATAACTAACTACACCTGTCTATTAGTCACACTCTTATAATTTTGGAGCACGTCAGTGTTAGCTGATTGTAAATAGCTAATAAGCATACAGTGCTGATAAGTACTGATTTTAGCAGTTACGTGTTTGAATAGAAGTGTTGGAACTGATTTGATTTTAGCAGTTACGTGTTTGCATAGAAGTGCTGAAACTAATTTTATTTTAGCAGTTACATGTTTGAATAGAATTGTTGAAACTGATATAATATTAGCAGTTACGTATTTGAATAGAAATGCTAAAACTGATTTAATTTTAGCAATTACATGTTTGAATAGAAGTGCTAAAACTGATTTAATTTCAGCAGCTACGTGTTTGAATAGACGTGCTGAAATTGATTTGAGTTTAGCAGTTACGTATTTGAATTGAAGTGATGAAACTAATTTGATTTTAGCAGCTACGTGTTTGGATAGACGTGCTGAAACTTATTTGAGTTTAGCAGTTACGTGTTTGAATAGAAGTGATGAAACTAATTTGATTTTAGCAGCTACGTGTTTGGATAGACGTGCTGAAACTTATTTGAGTTTAGCAGTTACGTATTTGAATTGAAGTGATGAAACTAATTTGATTTTAGCAGCTACGTGTTTGGATAGACGTGCTGAAACTTATTTGAGTTTAGCAGTTACGTATTTGAATTGAAGTGATGAAACTAATTTGATTTTAGCAGCTACGTGTTTGGATAGACGTGCTGAAACTTATTTGAGTTTAGCAGTTACGTATTTGAATTGAAGTGATGAAACTAATTTGATTTTAGCAGTTACGTGTTGGAATAGAAGTCCTGAAACTGATTTGGTATTAGCATTTATGCTTATTATCCCGAAACTGATAATAAGCAATTGACTAAACTACTCATAGAGTTTTTACAAAAATTACTACAAATTTAGAAGTATATTTGTAAGGAAAAGGAGGAACGGCAGACATGGAATGGAGAGGAAGTTAGCGGTTTTATTTAGGGCTCCTCAGGTATTATAAGTACTTGACTTGTAAGTACTTTGGGATTTTGCCAAACTTGTTGATAAGCCAAAAGATGCTTATAAGCCAGTTTGACCAGCTTATAAGCTTGACCAAACACTCTCTTAACATGTTCTTTGTTCTATGAATTTAACCCAATGTATTGTGAATTAGATCATTTCTTTTTGTATTTTGTTTCTTTAAAACAAATGGGTAAAGGGTAAAAGACTATCATAACAGGTGATTAAGGTCCAATGTGAATTAGCTGATGCGTAACAACTTTGTGCGTATGGTTGTTATCGAGGATTTACCTGTTGGCTTAGGCATAACACTGGGAAAGCCTTCATGGTGCACTGCACTGCGCTTCAGTTTGTCTGCTGCGAACTAAATGCTTTTCTGTTAATACCAAGGATCCCTGTCGTGGTGTCTTTGACACTTGGGTTCCTACTCTTTTTGTGTCTGCTTTTATGTCTTATGACAAATATTGCCTGGGAATATAAAAATTTCTTCATAAAAAAGGCTGGTGTGTGGCATGCTCATGTGGTGGAATGCTATACCAGCATGCATATGGTGGACTATATGGACTCAAAGAAATGGAAGATGTTCCAAAGACTGCTAGCGTCACTCTATCATCAAGATAAAACTTAACTGTATACTTTTGTTTCTGCTCATGGTGTAGATTGGAACATGTAAATAAGGCTGAATCAGTGTTACAACTGTTAGAAGCCCTACAGGAGTAAAAGGGGCATGCTTTTGCTGTTTTGCTTCTGAAGATGTTGTACAGTAATAATAGTGCACAATCTGTGCTAGTTTATCTATAAAACTACTTCACCTTTTTAAAAAGGGCATGGTGTGTGTCCTTCAGAGATATCAAAGTTGTGCATGATTTTTTGCACTAATCGAGTAATCTCTATTCCCTTGTGGCCCTGGCCATGCGTTTTAAATGCCAATGGTTTACCTAACTACCAAAGGCTAATCTGTGTTGTATATGAATAATAAGGGACATAGTTCCTCACTCTTTCAAGATGTGGAAAGAACAAAATTTTGCATACGTGTCAGGAGATCCAAGGCGAAAGCATCAAGCTGCTCGCTTTTATTTCATACGCAGCTGATTTTAATCAATCTTGCCTCTGCCCTCTTGAGTGATCTTAATTTTGTTGACAGGTATCTTATTGGATGACTGACAAAAGATTTTTCAGCCCCCAACCTGCTGATATTGCAGCGCGAATTCATCTGTTGTTTAAAGTTAAAGGTCTAGAAGAAGTTGAGAAGTACTTAAATAGCATCCCACGACAGCTGAAAGGCTTTCATGTTTATTCAGCTCTTCTAAACTGCTATACCAGTGAAAAGCGTGTTCAGAAAGCTGAGGAAATCATGCAGAAAGTAAGGGATATGGGGCTTGCTAGAACACCATTATGCTACAATTTTATGATGAAAATGTATTATCAAACAGGAAGTTGGGAAAAAATGGACAACATGATGAATGAAATGGAGGGGAAGGGTATAACATTTGACCAGTTCACTCTCATGATCCGGTTAAGTGCATATGCTGCTGCTGGAGATTCTGATGGAATAGATAAAATAGTAATGATGATGGAATCTGATCAACGGATCACATTGGATTGGAATACTTATAGTATCGCTGCAGAGATGTATCTTAAAGTTGGGCAAGGGGAAAAAGCTTTGGCAATGCTAACTAAACTGGAGGGCATGCTTGCCC